TGTACGTGGGACTCGGCCTCGCGTTGGACGGAGAAGTGGTGCCTCGGGGCGCTCCCGGGATCCGAACCCGGGCCACCAGCATCAGAGCGCACGCACTTAACCGCTAAGCCACGGAGCCGGCCCATCACTCATCTTTTAAAAACCTTCCTTTGAAATGATTCCTCCACTTGGCTTCTATGACATTATGCTGGTCCCCTGGCTACTGCTGGCCGTTACTCCACCTCCTCTTCCCAGTCCTCACCCTCCCCAACACTCCACCCACAGGCACGCCTCAGGCTGAGGACCTGGCCTTCTCTTTACACCAGAAAAACAGACCATTTCTGGATGAAAGGCTGCTGATCCACAGAATAGGAAAAAATTTCACATCAATAAAAAGCCATGTGAGTACAAAGTAATGTAGCTGAGATCATATTGGTTTTATATTGAAACATAAGAATTCTCTACCTGCTTTTAAATGACTATTAAACTACAAAACGAGAAACGAAGAAAAAGGAAGAAAAGGAAAAAGAACAAGAGATGGTCATCATGTATGGCTAGTGACTCTAATAATTAAAAATTGGAGCTTATATTTTATGTCTTTATTTTCATTTTTATAATAATTCGTCTTGTATTTTACACAACAACTGGTCTGCAACATATTGGAAATTTTAAAATAAAATTCCTCTTTGCCTAATGATAGCTTCTCATCAGGCTATTATCTGATCATATCTGACCAATCTATTTTCTTTCTTTCTTTTTTTTTTTTTTGTGAGGAAGATCAGCCTGAGCTAACATCTGTTGCCAATCCTCCTCTTTTTGCTGAGGAAGACTGGCCCTGTGCTAACATCCGTGCCCATCTTCCTTTACTTTATATGGGATGCCACCATAGTGCGGCTTGACAAGCAGTGTATCAGTCCGTGCCCGGGATCTGAACCTGAGACCTCCAGCCCGCCAAAGCAGAGCGCATGAACTTAACCACTATGCCACCAGGCCAGCCGCCTAACCAATCTATTTTCAATTTCCCTACAGTCATCTATTTCTCCAACCTGGAGGAAATCCTCACTGTCCTTTCTACTGGGTATTTCTACCTTTGTTCTTCTGTTTGCATTTATTTACTCATCCTGGACATGTTCTCTGTATTTTACAAAGCCTTCCACTCTAACCCATCCTCTATTTCTAGTCCTTTATCTTGGTTAGCCCAATTATATTTAATCATCATTTATACTCAGAGTCATATATGATTTTCCAGCAGATGATTAAGTTATTTAAAAAAAAATTAAGGTAGTCTATTTTATTGATATATTTAGATGTAAACACAATTAGCAATAATACTTAATGAATGAAAGAAACTTTTTTTTTTTTTTGAGGAAGATCAGCCCTGAGCCAACATCTGCCAATGCTCCTCTTTCTGCTGAGGAAGACCGGCCCTGGGCTAACATCCATGCCCATCTTCCTCCACTTTATATGGAACGCCGCCACAGCATGGCTTGACAAGCGGTGCAGCGATGCGAGCCTGGGATCCGAACTGGTGAACCCCGGGCCACTGTAGCGGAACGCGAGCCACTTAACTGCTGCGCCACCGGGCTTGCCCCTCAAAGAAACTCTTTAAAGATTTTATTTATTTATTTTTTCCCCCCAAAGCCCCAGTAGATAGTTGTGTGTCATAGCTGCACATCCTTCTAGTTGCTGTATGTGGGACGTGGCCTCAGC